TTTCCCATTTTGTCTCTCTACTTTTTAACAAAGTCTTTTCAATATACTTATATATATATTTACTGCATAACTCTTAGTACAGCAATTTCTGTATTCTTGTTGGCTAAAAATGCCTTTTTCTTCTGTCTCTGGTAAGACAGCTGGGATCAAGACTCTTCAACATGACTTATGCATATATACATTCAAACTATGCATGAGGTGATCTCCATATCTGAGTGCTGTAATGACTGGATATCTCTGTATGGAGGTCTTGGCAGACTTGCAAAGTAAGACACTGTTTGCACCATAATTGTGGAGAGCATATTGAATTATTGCTAGAGCTTCCATTTTCAGGGTCTGTAGATAGCAGTCCATTAACAGATATAAAGCTGGTCTTACCTCCACTCTCGGTAAATTAGAATAAATGAAATCAAGCAAATAATCTTATTAATCATTCCTAGATACACTTATTTAAGAGATAATGTTAGTTCCACTAGAGGAAGCACAGATCTGGAATTGTCTTTACATAGTTTCTTTGTACTGGTATACTTGTCTGGAGTGAAGACAGAGGTATTTGTAACCTACTGCTTATCCTAGTGACTTTCAATATTTATTATGACTATCATTATTTTACAGATGGGAACAGATATTTTTCTTTTTTTCCATAACAAAAAAAATGTCAATGTTTTTCTCTAATCCCCTCTGAAGGTTTCAGGGATGTGTAGAGCTGAATTTCCAAAAACTAACAAGAGGAATGCATACAGTGCTCTGGCTTCAGAAGGTTTCATGCTATTTAAAGATAAATGGCAACCATTTTCATCCAACCTTCATATTGACATTTTAAAAGATAAGATGTACCTCTCAGCTTATATCAACTCACAAGTACATCTAAATATCCGTTTGGCATCTCTTTCTGAAATGTCAGATTTCTAAGGTGAACAGGAGGGTAAAACCTTTTTTTTACTGTTTTGGAGCACCAGTATGTTTCCAAAGAAAGGAAGGTATTACCACCAATCAATAAAAATATTCAGGCGTGGAACCAAACAAACAATGATTTTCAGGGTGTTGATAGTTTAGGACTGAGTGTTCCAAATTCAGTTACATTCTTATCTCACCTGCATTATGAGAAGCTGGAAATGAAACATTTGATTTTTGAACAAATCTCAACATTCCTAAATGAAAATGTAAAAACCGTATCAAACAGAAGAGTTATTTCAAAGATAAAAATTTGAATGTCCAGTTTTCATGATCATGAAAAGGCAAAGTCTACTGCCTTTTGAAAAGGGAGCAGCAAAATGTCCCTGTAACATTCTTGGTCACTGCAGCAAATGACAGTTTTCTTGTTCTTATCAACTGTATTTTCTGCAGTTTTGATTTTATAGAAGTAATTTATTTTGTGTTGATTATTGTTAATCCCTGTGGTCTGCTAAATTCTCAAGAAATTACTACACAAAGTGATATAGTTGTAAGTAAAATGACCTATAAAATTTTCCAATAAAACCTGCTTTCTTTTAAACCTGTTCCTTAGGGCTTCCCTTACTTTTCTTCCTAAAGCTCTTTCAGGTATGAGTTATTGCAGAGAGGTTTGCAATACAATCGGTCATATTTCTATGGGCTCAACATCAGAGAAGATCTTTTAACTACTACCTCAGCACTAATCCCTTCTGTGTCTACTGTATTTGAATAATCAAAACAATGCAAAAGCTTTTTGAAATAAATATACACACAAGAAACAACCACACAGAGACAGAAGGTTAAAGGTTGTATTGACATAATGTTCTTTAGAAGCAATTTTGGCATGAAGTGAAGGCATTTTTTACACTTCCGTGCAAAGGTATATGAGACAAATTTTCCTCCACTTAATTTGAAGTATCAACCAATGCTTTACTAGACTATGAAATTAAAACATGTAAGAAAATATGGAAATTCAACTCAAAACCACTGAAGTTCAACTCTTCAAGTGATTTAAGACTCATCTCATATGAATTTTCAATGGGATGTAAGCTCCTAAATTCTGCAGGCATCTGCTGATCTAATTGGGCCCTCTGAAGTCAACAGCTAGAAGTCAGTCAGCTGAGAGGGGTTACTTTACTGCTGATCATATTTTAAAACACAGTATAATTGGGGTATGACTGAAACTGGCTTCCACTTCCCCTCCTTGAAGTTCTCAGATTGCTTCAAGACATCTGTACAAACAGGTAGCATTCCTGTTCTTCACATGTAATTACCTAATACTACAGTTCATACCTTGGCCTATTCCAGAACAAGTAGTAGCTAGTATTAGTGTTTCTTCAACATGATCCAGTGATGCATTACCCAAAATGCAGATGTTGTCTGTTAGGGTCACAAGCATCAAGGGCTTTTTTTTGTTGGTGGTTTTTTTTTTGGTTTTGTTTTGTTTTGTTTTTGTTTTTGTTTGTTTGTTTGTTTTTGTTTTGTTTTGTTTTTTTGTGGTGGTAGAGGGGAGAGTTTTGTAAGACTTTTGTTCCCACTCTTCAATGCAGGAGAAATATGTTTGGAGCAAAGAGACATTTCCTCAGTTATATATCCTCACTCCTTTTCAAAATCTTCTGAAGATCTTTTTTTCTGTTACATTTGTTGCTAGAGCAAATTGAATTTCCTGACTGTAGAAGAGTTCCTTCCCTACTAACCTATTCCACACTCTGAGTTTTTCTAGACAAACCATCCTTAATTGCTGCTACTTGGATTTCTCCCCTTGATCAGGAAGGCTCCTGTTGGGGACAAGTCCAGGTTTCCCTCAGGGGATTCTGAGTCCTCATATAACAATGGCCCAAATCCATCATTTGAATCTGCATGGCAAGGAATTAACCATGTATGCCAATTGTTACACGAGATACAACCAATTTTTTACACACACAAAAGTATCTTTAAAGTAATATTTGTAGCTGTCCTCAAAAAAACCCTAAATCAGATCCATGCATTCAAATAATTATAGCTAGATGGAAAATGTGGGATTTGGAAGTATTTTGATTTGGTATTCTTGGAGTATGAGGAACTGCTGTGCTTCAGCTGATTAATTATTTCAAAAAATGATTTATACCAGGTATATAATGCATTATATAAGGAAGAGGAAAATACAGTAAAGAAACTTATTTATAAATACTGAAGCTTAGTTTCTGAGTTTTCCATATTTCTTTTGTTTAGAGTCACTAGCACTTCACAGCGGGTTTTGAAAAATTGTTTCATGTGGAAAATAAATCCTGCCATACATTTTATATTTCTTCTTTTTATTATAAAGGCCATTTGCATAAAAATAGTAGATTTGTTTCTTAGAAGTTCATTTTCTCTTGCTGCTCCTTCCCATTTAGAATCATCATAATCCTCACAATAGATTGACATGGAAATGGTTGTCATATCACAATGGAAGAATTAAGACTGTTACTAGGGTATAAGCAGCAGGTTCTTAAAGTGAAAAGATCCTGTTTCCATACAAATAGCATTGCAATTAAAGAGCAATGGAGAATCAATAACAGAAATAAAATATTGTTAAAAATGGATTTTTCTTTAACTTTGATATTTATTTTGAATTATTTGATTAAAATAAGGTCAGCAAGAACATGAGAACAGCCAACACGTCAGAGGATTGGTTCAGCAAGTGCATTATCTTGTCTTCATCAGCAGCCACTGGCTGAGGAAAAAGTGTTAGTTGAGGCATTAAATGCTTAACCCCTGACCTGCCAGAATACTTGCTCAGCATATAGGGATATGAAATAAAGGAAATTCTTAAATCGGAGATTATGTCTTTGTTTTCAGAAGTCCTTCTTCCTTTCGTACAGTTGCCCAGTCTCTATCATAATCTGGCCATACATCATTGGAAAGTAATTTCCTGTTCATAGTTATGGAGGCTTTCTAATTAGTATTAGTTAAGCTATTTTCTTCAGAGATTATTTACTTTTTTTTTTCCACATAACACATGGTAGTGTACTGTACCTGTACTGGTTTTGTGTGGAAAGGTTTTGATAGTGGGTGGGCTACAGGGGCAGCTTCTGTGAGAAGCTGTCAGAAGTTTCCCCTGTGTCTGACAGAGCCAATGCCACCGGCTCCAAACCTGGCTCCTCCGCTGGCCGAGGCCGAGCCCATTAGCGAGAGTGGTAGCGCTTCTGGGATAACGTATTTAAGGAGGGGGAAAAGGTGCTGTGCAGCAGCAACTACAGCTGGAGAGAGGAGTGAGAATATCTGAGAGCAACTACTCTGCAGACACCAACACCAGTGAAGAAGGGGAAGGAGGTGCTCCAGGCACCAGAGCAGAGATTCCCCTGCAACCCCTGGTGCAGACCATGGTGAGGCAGGCTGTGCCCTGCAGCCCATGGAGGCCCACGGTGGAGCAGACATCCACCTGCAGCCCGTGGAGGACCCCACACCAAAACAAGATGGGTGCACCCCAAGGAGTCTACGACCCCATGGGAAGTCCACACTGGAGCAGGCAGAGGAGTCCAGCTGGAGCAGGTTTGCTGGCAGGACCTGTGACCCCGTGGGGGACCCACCCTGGAGCGGTCTGTGCCTGAAGGGCTGCGCCCCGTGGGAGGGACCCACGCTGCAGCAGTTTGTGAAGAACTGCAGCCCGTGGGAAGGACTCATTTTGGAGAAGTTCATGGAGGACTGTCTCCTGTGGGAGTGACCCCACGCTGGAGCAGGGGAAGAGTGTGAGGAGTCCTCCCTTTGAGGAGGAAGGAGCAGCAGAGACAGTGTGAGATGAACTGACCACAACGCCCAGCCCCCAGCCCCATGAGCTGCTGGAAGGGAGGAGGTAGAGATATAGGGAGTAAAGTTAAACCTGGGAAGAAGGGAGGGGTGGGGGAAGTTGTTTTTAAGATTTAGTTTTTATTTCTCATTATCCTACTCTGATTTGATTGGTAATAAATTAAACTAATTTCCCCAAGTCCAGTCTGTTTTGCCCGTGACGGTAACTGGTGAGTGACCTCTCTCTGTCCTTACCTTGACCCACAAGCCTTCTGTTATATTTTCTCTCCTTTGTCCAGCTGAGAAAGGGAGTGATAGAGGAGCCTTGGTGAGCACCTGACATCCAGCCAGGGTCAACCCACCACAGTATCTTAAGAAACTTTGATTATTATAATTCCAAAATATATATCGCACCTTAGAATACAGCATTAATATCTCCCAGTTTTCACCTCATGTTATTTAGTAGTAGTAGTGCTGCTATTAGTATTATTTACTGACATTGCGTGAAGTACAAATTTTCTTTGAAGTAGATAATGAAATGGCTTGATAGGTTGTATCTTTTATTCTACAAACTTCTTATTGAAATCAATGAGATCAAAAGATTGGTGTACATAATTTCTTGGAGAATGAATGGAAAAGATTAATATAATTTACTACTTTAAATTATCAGATTCTCTCTATTGATCAAAAATAAAACCAATACAGATATAATAACAGAAAAGGAAATTAAAAAAGTACACAGCACCATATGTAATTATAAATGACTTTTCTGAATTCAATCATTCAGTTAATTTTCATGCACCATCCTCTCCATATTCCATAATCTCTATTCCATTTCTTTTGTCATGTAGAATTGGTTGCTGCATAATCTCCAACCCTATTTTCCACATTTCATAAAGAATATTACATTTTTATAACTATCAGTCACCAATAAATCTGCAAATGTTCCCTCACAGACAATCCCAGTCACAGCTTTCTAAGCCTTTATTCTGCAGAAAGACTACCTTTTAATTTTGAGAAGTTTGCCAATATATGCATGATATGTATTGAGAGGTTTCTCTTTTTGCACTTTAATTACATAAACTGTAGAATAACACTTTAGTGCTCTGTGCAATGAATTTAGAAGTCTGTAAATTCTGGTATCAGTTGTGAAACTCCTTTTATATATTCTCTTTTAGTTATTTCAGTTGCATTCATCCATTCATACGTACGGGGATGTAATATGATACAAAAGAAAAGAAATAGCTGAATGTCAGCCATCTCAAGAAATTTATGCTGCAGCTCTACATAAATTAGCTTTTCTTAAAATTTTCACATTTCTGCTCAACAGTTTGCAGAAGGTCCTTTATAGTCAAAAGACCTAGACTAGGTGCCTGCCATGTGTTTCTGGGGTGAACTGTAGATCACTGCCTTACTCACAGTCTGTTGCAGATAACGGTGATGGAGAAGAGCTTTCAAAGATGAGCTGAATTTGCCTATTTAAGTTGTTTTTCCCTGTTTCTATCTGCCTCTATATCAGTGCTAGGAAAAAGTCTTGCCTTTATTTTACCATGTATATCCAACAGAAAACATGATCCATATTACTGGATCTAACTAGGTTCCTAACCTACTGAAGGTTACCAGGACTACAGATCCTCCATAATAGGTGTTTTTAAATCCACTGTAATCACATGCTTTAGCAGCATTTGGAGGAGAGAAAAATATTTGGCCCAGCTGGACTCCTCTTGCTTTTCCTCTTCTGAGCTGTTCTTCACTCTGTTACTTACCACACAGTACCTGAATTTCTTGGCCTCTGGTGCTGGCCAGGTAAGATGGTGGAGGCTCTCCGTTCAGGTGTGTACAGTGGGTTCTGAGTGTCTCTATTCTCTCCTCTTAGCATTTTGTTCCCACATAAATGTATAAAGGAGGAAAAAAACATGAGTCTAGTGAGATTTTCAACTCCTTGTACCTATGGAAGTGCTAGAAAATTGGCTTCATGTTTATGATGAGGCAAAAGCTTTCTAGGCAAAAGTCAGCAGACCACTTCAAGAAAGCATGTTGTTACTGATATTTTATTACAAGCTACTATTAACCACAGCAGAAATTAGATCTTCTACTTTCCATTTTATAAGCCAAGGCTGCAGAAACCATAACAGAGTTGAAAAGAAGAGGATGCCATACTCAGACATAAGTATCACCTGAACAACAGGTGTAGGCGTAGTCTTTTCTTGAGGTAGAAAGCATTTTCCCCACATGGGAAAAGAGTGGTTATTGTGACAGCTGCAGATGTTTGTGGATTCACTAAGTGTGATGTGCTGGGCCTGAAAAAATACAGCGGATTATCATATATCCATTACCCAGTCCTTCACTGAAGGATTCTAATCCCTTGTCCTCTTCTCCCTGATGTACCCTCCTAACTGTAAGATGAAACTCCTGCTTGCCTGATTGCAACAGTCGTGGATTGATAAGGTCACCAGGTTAAAGCCCAAGGCTCAAGCCAATGCTTAACATACAGTGTCGATTTATACAGTCATTCTCTTTCTTTTCTGCTCCCTTAATTAGTATTTAAATATTCCAAGTGAAGTGGAATAGGTCGAACAGGAGACATTAATGACCTGAATCCAGAATACTCTATAGCCTATTTGTTGGAGTATTCATCTGGGAAGTGGAACAGACAAGTCAAAATCTACCAGCTCTCTAATTTAGAGCAGACGGCACTGAGGCTTCTCACATCCCAATTGACTTGCCCTAGCAACAATATTATTATTTAAAAAGGAACAACCTCTTTTTTATTAGTAGCATGACTAGCCCTCTGTTTTTAATATGCTCAGCCTTAAAAAGTCATTACACATTAAATACTTTACTTGATTTTAATATTTTTTTATGCTGTTGACAGAACAAGGACTTTTATACATAAAATAACTATGGAATAACAGAAATACAGAAAATTACTATTTTACATTTGAATGAGCCTGAATTAAATAGGGGTATTTTTTTGTTTTGGCTTGGGTTTTTTGTTTTGTTTTATTTTTCTTCTAGGGTAGCCGAAGGTATAGCTGCTAAACTGTAAAATCAAGTGCCCATCCTTAACCATGGACTCCTATACTTATTATGTCTTAAGGAGAACTCAGCTCACAAATACAAAGGCTATTTTATCTAAGCTCTGGACTCTGAAAGTCATACAGTGTTCTCCTCAAAGTTGTCACCAATTGTCAAGGTTTATTTATACTTATGAGACCTTATGGGTCTTCAGATTTCATCCTAAGTGACAACTCTGAAACCAGAGAAATAGTAAGAATCTCAGAGTTTTAGCTGTTTGGAATTTAGCAAATCAATCTGTTGATGTAAAGATGACATTTGTGACCTGATGGGGTAGTTCTGTGTGCAGGAGAAATTGGGATGTGGAGTCAGAGGTAAATATCCCTAGAGTAATCTTTTTATAGAAGTGTATATATAACTTTTTTAAAGTTCCCATCCTCATTGAAAATCAATAGCAATCACAACCCAAAGTGCCAGGAGGCTCTAGCAGACATGTGGTAGTGGATTAAAATTGGATGACTTCAGTTGTACCCTGCACTCCTGTGATGGATGTTGCCTCCCCCCAAGTAGGGACAACTGAGCTGCTCATGAATCTCCTGATCCACTGCAATGTTCATCTAAAGTAAACTGACTTGGATTCTGGTTGACTGTAATACAGACAATGATATTTGTCTTGAGAGAGAATATGTGTACTATATGGATGGCAAGAATATCTGGGAAAGTTCAGGAGTCTGATTTTAATCTGTTACTGAATGATCCCTGTCAATTGTAAAAGTAAAACTCAGTAGGCTCCATCAGGTGATTTCAAAGCAACAGAAATGCCTGTCTCTTACTTTCCCACTAGACACCTGAAGCCCCACTGGCCTGTTGGGCAAGAGCTCTGCCTAACTTTGGCACTTTTCTGAGAAAAAGGAGAATTGCTGCTGGCTGAACTAATGGAAATATTGCCCATGTGTAGGACCGTTCTTTCTCTACCGGTCTAGCTGTCTAAATAACATCACTGCAGGTTTGGGGAGGAGGGTAGCACTGGTAGGAGATGGACAAAAATGCACACAACACCTGCACACTGAAAAGCAAGGAACAAGCAGGGAAATACATCAGGATAGCCCCATGGGTAGTGCAATAACAGAATGGTTGTAGGGGGCAGGACAATCATCTTGGTGTTATTGCCTCTTCTTTTTGGAGTCATGACATTGCGATGGTATCAATATACAGTCCACCCCACATGAGATTATGTAGTAGCAAGCAATGTCTTCCTCAGCTAAACATCTCAAGCCAATTTTGTTTATATTAGTATCTAGGCACATAATAATCTAATTTCTATTTTCAGTGGTTTAGGACATCCTGTTTGGGTTCTTCCAGAACACTAGGTTCTTGCAGAAGTTACTGTAATGTAGATGATGCCTGCCAGTCCTGTGAGGATGTCTCTGATATAAAACATCTATAAGCACTGAAGCCCTTTCTTAGGCACCTGAATCATACTGCAGGTACCTGCATCATGATCTTATAGCAGTATAACAGCATTTTCCTTAGCTTGACTTCCAGTCAAATTTAAGTCAATAGCTGTTTACTCTCACTTCAATTAATGTAATGGTGGTGATTTTATTGTATAACATCCTGAGTTTTTAAGGGGAAATCTGACTTGGCTACATCAGCAGCCAAAAGCACATAGTAGATAACCTTCTAGCATATTTGAGCTTTGCCTCTGCAGCATTGCTCAGGCTGATAAATTGTGGGAAACTATTTTCTTCACTAAACAAAGCACATAGCAGCCTGAATATGAAAAGTTAGGTATACTAGATAGGAAGAAACTATTTTTACATAACAACAGACTTAGAGGAATGATCCTTTGAATGGTAATTATTTGTGTAAGTCTATATCTATATGCACACATAGAGTTTTAATTGCTTCTATTATAACTGTGCAAAAATCTGTCATCAGTATGTCCTTGGAAATATACTGTGGTACTAATCAGATTTGTCAAGATGAGACAGTACCTTTCTATTCTCTCTTACACATCATAAACTCTGACTGATATCCCCAAGGGAAAAAAAAATGTATAATATATCATTTATGACCTGTTGCATGCACAATTTACTTGCATTTCATATGCAGTAAGATAACAAAATGCTATTGATTTTGAATTTGACTTTAGGAAGCTGATCTCTATTGCTAGTTGTCACTTGGCAGATTTTTCCTCCTGCTGTGAAATGTTTGATCTAAAATTTATGTTTGGAGAAATGGAAGCAGTGATGATTTTATGATATTAAAAAAAAAAAAAAAAAAAGTGCATAAATTTTATCCTAGTAGATAGACATTTTTCATAAGGAGAATAAACATTCTATAAATAAGACTCAATTTCAAATAAGCAACAAAAACCATGTAACATGCCAATCTTGTTCTGCTTATACAACACTGCTGTGTAACAGAACAGCTTTCCAGTGCTTGAAGGCAGGCACTGATCAGTGTCAGGATGCTTGTGCAGAAAAAAGCTTAAAGGGTAGAGTTGAGGGAAGTACACACAAATGCAATGCACTACATAATAAACAAAAGAAATGTAGAATGGTTCAGGATATGAATCTGAACACACTAAAGATATGACAGATTAAGAATTAGGGAGCATCTGATACCAAATTGTCCTTCCCAGTTCTACAGATACGTGTGAGTTACATAAAGGTCATTTCAGAATCACCTGAGTATTGTTCTCACATTCTGCAGAAAACAATATTCATTAGCATAAACATTGAAAGACTTGTTATACCTTTTTTTTTTTTTTTTTTAGGGATAAATATATGTACCTATGGGTAAAATGGGTAAGATCAAGGATATAATCCTTTCTTCATTTATTTATTTAAGAATAACAATATAGCAATTCTCAAATAGAGGCTACATACCTGTTGTGATGGAAATACCTGAAAGTCTTCAACAGCTTTGTACCTTATCTCCAGTGATAGTTTCCAAATGTATATTTACCACTTTCTATGTAAAAAGCGAAACTAAATCTGTTTATCTTCGCATAGAGCAGCTCTGACACTTTCCTTACCTCCATCATCCTAGAAAATTATCTGCTTTATAGGTTGCATCAGCTGTGAGAGAAGACAGGTGGTCTCAGGGTGAAAAGCAAAGGTAGCAAACCAGGCAATACCTGATTATTTGAAATTTTAGACATCTGTGTGGGCAAAGGTCCCTGAAATCACTGGCATTCATTTAGGAGAATTGACATCATTAACTAGATCAACAACATATGTAATATATCACTGAATAATTTAACAGTAGCATACAAACAGATATTGTAAACTAAGCTAAGTGGAGATACTGTGCTCTTCTACTGTTTTTGACTGTGGAATTATTAATATTTTTACTACTGTTATTGTATATATTGGAAAATAAATATCAACTAAGGTTGTTCAGGTTATAACTTTCTTTTGTGAAAAGAAGTAATTTGAGGACTTTCAAATGTGATCAGGTTTCAGTTACCACAGTTTTGGTTTGTGTTCAGAATTAATATTTCTCAGTACTTCAGGAAGAAGCAGATTAAGTCATTATGGTTAACTGTTGGTTTAACAGTTAATATGTGTTAACTGTTTATTTAGTTAACATGCATACTCACCTTCCTACTAGATTTCTGGTACCAAACCTATCCTTTCAAGAATTAAGTCTGCTTTGCCACTGTAACTCTTGTTTCTTAGGAGACTATTTCATTAAGTGAAAAATGCCACAAACAAAGATATTTAAATATCAGCTACTCTTTGCAACTTGTAAGGATACTGGACATGTAAATGACTTGTGTTTCTGTTACATGAAGTGGAATATATATGTTCCTATTGCCACTGATACATGTCCTCGACATCAGAATCCAGTCAAACCTTGAGTGACATAGACATACTCATTCCATTACAATCAATGGAAGTACACTTAATTACATCACCTGAGAATCTGGCTTATAGCCCATAACAAGAAAGTCCTTTGTAGAGTAATATTTTATGCTTTCATCAGTCGCTCTCCTAGGTCTGCAGCTATTTGCAGCAGACTAAAATCTGTCATATTATAATCAAAAAGGCTGATCGTGGCTATTTCACCATGTTTGCTTCCAGATTAACTTTATTAAAGTAGCCCCAGTTCAGGAAAAACTTCTTCCAGAAGCCACAAGAGCCTGTCTTAAATAATGCAATATATATATTTATTTTAAATAGTCCGATTACAGAGCGATTTCAAAACAACATTTATGTTCTTGATTTTTAGGCTCCAAGTGTTACATTCTATTTCCTCTGCTTTGTCTAGGACGTATGTCTACAACCACAACAATAATAGATGGTAAGAACGGATCCGTTCCCTCATCATCCATGAAAGTGGGCAAGAAATCAGTTACAGAAGACCTCGTGACAACGTTCAGCTCACCAGCAGCATGGCTTCTTGTTGTTGCTCTGATTGTCACCTGGTCAGCAGTAGCTATTGTAATGTTTGACTTGGTGGATTACAAAGACTTTGCAGGTAAAATTCAGCATATTTTGTTTGACAATTTATATATTAAAATTTAAAAATTTATTAAGGAGTGTATATTATGTAAATATGCATGTCTTTCACCTTCTTGGAGACAGCACAGTGTCTCTGCTGAGTTTACCAGGAGAGGAAATATTGTGAGAAATGTCAGACGATATTAGTTTACACTTCATACATCTTTATAATTTAAATATCTCCATTTTGCAACTCATCCTCATCCTGGAAAATGTGTATGTTGACAGTAATATAATATGTATATGAGCATGTACGGTCAGATTTCTGTTTTGCAATTTCTATATAAAATTATTTCAAGAAAAATAAAATTATTAATTCATATTTTCTGAAATATAAAGTCTTTCATAGTTGCTTTGAGTATTGACATCTGCTTACACGGTTTAATGACAAGAAAAATGCAAAATATAATTTCTAAACACGCTAACCCTAAATTCATCTTCAAAACCCATAAGCGCAGAGTATCAAATTCTTAATATTATCTAAGTCACACCCTTGTCTTCAATAAGGCAGTAATTCTAGCCTAGCTCAAGATTTGGCAAACTGATTGGACAGGATCAAGTTCTGGGCTATATATTGGTTACTGCCAGCAAAGAAGAAAATGAAGTGGGTGGTACAAGGACTGTGATCGTGGTTGAGGAACGGGAAGAAAGGAACGAGGAACGGGAAGGAATGAGAAACAGAAATTACCTCACTGTTACTTGATTTTTCTGCCTTGTATCTGGCAATGATATATAATGAAAAATAAAATAAATTAGCTATGTTTGTAAAGGGTGCATAGCATTCAGCAAGACACTTCGGCAGTAAAACTTTTGTGAGGTAAACAGCTTATAATGTCTGGGAAACCTGTATGTGAAGCAAGAAAAAAATTACTAGGGTCATTCTCTTTCTTAAATAAGAACTCCAGCTCTAATGTTATCACATCTGTCACAATAATTAACTAGGAATTGAAATTCAGACTTCAGCCTATTAATTCAAAACAAATTGAGTTGATGTTTCAAAATTAATTTCCTGGACTTTATTAGTTTACTGATGAATCCATAGATTTTTGTCCTGCTATATATCAACATTGACCTCAAGATTTACTTAAAAAGCTTTTGAGACATACATAGATCTTGAAAGAAACCAACCAATCCTGGATCAATAGATGACACAGAAGCTTGAAACATGGAGAAAATGTATCACAAACCTCTGTTAAGTTTTTGCTTCTCATCTGTCTTTGTTTTCAGAAGGAAGTCACTTAACTTCCAGCAAAACATAGTTACTTTTGAGCAATCCTCCCAAAACAGCCATCAGATTTTAATTTGTACACCACAGGCTTAATGTTACAATGTAGATATAAACCAAAGGAGAGAAATCACCTTATTCTACTTTTAATTTTCTATATTAATTATCAATCAGTCAAGCTCTTAATATGTTTTCAATGAGCAGTCAAGAACCAGGGCATAACTCAGACTAAACTCTTAAAAGAAGTAGTTCCTGAGCTGTCAGCTCACACATGCTCTGTATACTAGTCAGGGTAATGGTAAACAATGAGAATATGTATTTGTACTGGAGACTGAAGGAAACTTTCTAAACAGGCGGAAATCTGATGTTCGTGTTGTATTGGTTAAATGAGCTTAAATCCCACAAGTGGTGATGGAAACTGACATTTTCAGACCAGGCTGTAGAAATAAAATAATGTAAAATTTAATCTTCCGGGTGAGTTCGTGTTTTGTGGAGATCTCTGAGAGATGATATTTTAGTATGTTGAGTTCATGAGTTTATTTCTTTTCCTTCCCAAAGATATTTCTGTTCCTAAATGATTAATTAAACCAGCATTTAAATTGTGTCTCAATGGTGAAATGATAAGAGAAGGAACTGCTCTGCTCCTTCTTCAGACCAGGATTTATTAGATTGGTTTTGTTATTAACATGAATTTAACAATGACTACATAACTCTTGTCATGACCTTTGCGTTTCAACTCCTGAGTTCCAACTCAATTTGATTTTTCCAGGTTAAACCCACTAATTTAAAAAAAATTACATGCAAATAGTTGAAGATTTTGCATAGGACCATCATATGACAATTTGGCCCTTTGCCTCCAGTGGAAGTAATGCCATCTTTTCATATAGAAAGTATAATTTGGAGTGTATTTTTAAGTGAATCCTTAAATCTAAAACACAGTGATATTTTCTTTTGGGTTTGACACTGTTCTTTGAGCAACCAGACCTTCATAAAAAAAGTGAATAGTTACTTTCAGGACTGTAAATTTAGATTTTCAAGCAGGATTAAAATCAGTTTCCTACTTTTCAAATGTAAATGAAAGATTCCAAAGAAATTATATTAAACTGTATAATTTTTCATCTATAAAATACAGAATATTCAGTGTATTTTTCCTTAAACACTTGCTTTTCATAAGTCAGTGCATTCAATTTCTTTCCCATTTCTTTACCTGAAATTCCATGACGTTCAAGTTTAGAAAGTATGCATAGCATATGAATGAGGCAAGCTGAGGGAGCTGAACTCGGTTAGTCTAGAGAAGAGGAAACTGAGGGGTGACCTAGGAGCAGCCTGCAGCTTTTTGAAGGGCAGTTACAGAGATGACAGAGGACTCTGTTCCACAAGCTCACATCAGACACTTGCACTCTGTTTCTGTGCCAGAAATGTTTGTCTCTGTAGCAGAGGCACTAGCAGTGACTGTACCGCACAGGACTGACTGTGGCAGAAAACAAGAGTGGGCTGACATAGTAAACCAGGCTGAGAACTGTGTGGCTGAGGAATTTACATGCATTTTTTCCTCCTGATTGCACTACCGAGCTACCAGCCTCTGGCCAATAAAGGAAGTGTAATGACCTGAATTACGAGTTGCCTAGATTACACAGAGACTCATGGACCTCTGTAGAAGCACAACACATCAGTGGAGTAGGAATTATTTTAGCCTTGAGCTCAAGTATTGTTTTCTTATTTCAATAATTAACAATTTTTCTGTCATTATCTTAAAGGCAATTCCAAGAAGACATAATATATTAGTATATGTATTTTAGCTCTTATGTATTCTTTTAATATACCAGTATATACTTCACATTGTCTCTATGATTAGGGTGCCAACGCATAGATTTTACTTCTTGATTACAATGATTTCATGTTCTTTCAGAAGTTAACTATCAAGTTTGGGAATTTTTATAATTTATATAAAATAGAACTTGTCCCAGAAGTAACTATATGAAAATAAGGTGTTTGTTCCACCCCAATATAGATGTGGTAAATTATTTGGGGGGGGGGGGGGGTGTCTATACTCAGTGTTTGAAAAGGAGCCTTTAGAACTGGGGGAGGCTGAAGGAGGGTAACACTTAGGTTTTAGGTCACAGAAGTTAGATTACCTGAATTCAAGCTCCAATAATAGAAAGATTTATGACATATTTTGTGTAATTTTACACATCCAGAACATGATTACTGTAAATTCTACAGTTCTCTGTAGTATCCAGGAGATGCTGGTTATGGTATAAAATATTGCAGGAAGACCCTATGTTATAGACTGCACATGTAAAGCCGTGCCTCCTCAGTGGTTATATGTCAGTTCGTTCAGAGGTTAGAACACAGATGGGTTCTGCAAGTCAGCTTCAGCAGTGGATTTTGACAAAAGCACGAGACAAGAATTAGATCAGTGCTGAAAGATTCACCCCTGTTCTATCTACCCACAAGAAGGAAATCAAATTTTGCAGTTTTGCCTCAGTGTGTTATGTTCATTCCTTTGAGAAAAGAAATGAAAACTTGCATTCCTATCATGTTGTATTGTACAACTATAAACAAGACTGAAATATTTCTAATGTGGTATGAAGGTGACATACATTACAAAAGCCTGAGATAAGAAACTACAAATCTCATGCAGTATGTAGTGCATATGAATATGCAGTAAGTAGCATACTGCATTGCAAGTTTTCTTATACATTCTCAGTATTTTCAGAAATACACAAAAAGATTCATTTTGGTTTGATGTGTGCTTTGCAATAGTTTTTTATTACAGCCATCCTTTGTGTTGGAAAACATACCTTGTTAATTGGCTTCATAATTCATGAATGTATTTCATGCATTTCTTGTACACATAACTGGATTATATATTTTAATTGGTAAATGTAACTAAATAATTTAAGATTATTTTAGTCCTAAAGATTGATTGCCCTGGAATCCATGTTTGCTAATGGGCTAATAAAGTGTTCAGAATTCCCTGCCATCTCTGTGACCAATTACAGCTAATTAACATCACCCTAATTTCAGATCCAGAGTGTTCAATATTCAGAGTAAATTGATAGTGATTTAGCCAGTCACCTAAAGGCCAGACTAAATGAAACCTAATGAAACCTCACCAAATCTGTGAAAAGCAAAACTCTCCACAAAATAATCTAAGTGAAAATACAGATCACCCAGATAGCACAATGATCTTGCCATTTTATCGTGCCTCATTTCTTAGGGAAAAAACAAAAAACAAAAAAGCAGTTTCTTTGTTGTGGATAATTTGTTTTGCTCAACCATAGTGAGGTTTTTAGAGACCTGCAGCAAAGGCAGATCTCTGTGGAGGTAATGCCTGTCAATGACAGGAATGGGCAGCTAACAGGGCATGGAGGCACAGAGCTCCCAGCTCCACAAGAAGCAGCAAGGATTCCAGTCAGATTTTTTTTGAATGCTTATTTTTATTTTCTTTTTTTTTTTTTTTTTTTTTTTTTTAAGTTAATAGCAAAACATCTGGCCAAATTGTTGTGGGGTCTTCCACATCAGCTTCTGACTAATACAGTCTGAAGTCACTGTTTCCCTGCCTTAGCTTGTGGTCACTTCTATTACTGTCTTGCAGCCACAGAAAGCTATTAGCTGGCCCTGGGTAGCCAGGATGATATACTTATTAATATTCTCCAGTAGAAGAAAACAAACAAACCAATAAAAATTTAGGAAACATATATTCACATGAACATCTATATTTTGGAGACAAAAGATACATGAAGATA